TATGTTTATCCAAAGACGGATTATACCCGGAAGAACACAGATTGCGACCAATATCATTGTTACCCAACATTGGTAAATGGATGGAAAGAATAATGCATCAGAGAATACTGAAATGGTGTGAACAAAACAATATATATGTTGATGAACAATCAGGATTTACACTGGGACGACGATTACAAACGAGAATATTATCATTAATTGAAGAATTGAGGATTACAACGGCAGCCAATAATCGTCCTGCTTTAGTTATTTTCGTTGATTTTTTATCCGCATTTGACAAAATGTGGTTTCCAGCCTTAATGAAAAATTTGATTATGCTTGATATGCCGCTTGATTTGGTCAAATGGATATATTCATGGCTAAATGGTCGTACAATGTCTGTTTATCACGGTGATGAAGTATCAAGAACCATTCAAATATTTGTCGGTGCTCCACAAGGTAGTATATTAGCCGCTACACTTTTTCGTCTGCATGTACATTTCTTGCCGAAAAGTTTAGTACAATCAATCAATCATTTATTTGCTGATGATCTAGCGATTGTTTTACAAGGTTCATTAGACAAGAGATTTTCAGAAAACATTATTGAACTAGAAAACCTTGCAAATAAAATATTGAAACAACTCGAAAAATTTGCAGATGATAATATATTACCAGTCAACGTACTCAAAACTAAAGCTATGCTAGTACACAACGTAGTAAAAGTGAGATATCCAAAATTGTTATATAAAAATGTAGTAATTGAATTTGTCAAAGTGTTTAAATATTTGGGCGTTATAATTTGTATGAAACTAGGTTGGGGAAATATTATAAAAGATCGTCTGATGAAAATACGAAAAGTATACGCAGGTTTAAGAGTGATATCTAAAACAATACCAATAGCGGAAATAAAGATGAGAAAAATTGCATTTTTGGCATATGCATTACCTCAATTTATTTGGTTGTTCCCACTGTGGTTTTATTTCACTGAGAAACAACAGATCGAAATTGAAAATGTCTTTTGTACTGGATTAAGAATTATTTACAACTTGCAAGGATGGGATGATATCACAACACATGTTTTAACATGTGAATTTTCATTAAAAGATTTTTTATTTCGTTATTGGAAAAAATTCAATAAACATTTAAACGAATCAGTCGAGGCGCTACTTTATCAACAAACGTGGACTGCTTTTCTAATTGCTATTTGTCCCAACAAAACGTATTATCGTTCATGCGGTTTCAGAAGAAATTCTAAATTCCCTAATCGCTTAGCGGTACAGGCAAGACACTCACAAGTGGACTGGTTGGAATTTAGTGGTGTTCATCAACGGCAATATGCGTACTTCAAAAGAAATAATAAATTTTTACATTTATTCATGTATAAATATTTCATTCAAAACCCATGACTATGACTGTATCCTGTAAGAAATATGTATAGGCAATTACAAAGTATGCATGATATTTATTTATTTATTTTCCATATGTGTTGTATTTTCATTTGGCTAGGTATGAGAGTGGATATTTTTAGGAGTTTTAAAACTGTGTATGAATGATAACTCTAGTCAATTCTACAAAATCTCTTTTGACATTTTAAATGTAAATGTAAATGAATTTTACTAAATTGTGTTCATTGTTAACCTTCTATGGAACAATAAAGTTAAATGTTCAATGATGACACGTTTCCTTCTTTTTCTTAGTGTATACGAACGTTATATAACGCTCGTATACACTTAGAAAAAGAAGGAAACGTGTCATCATTCTACACAAACAACAGCCTTAATGTATGTTATATATAGGTACCGTACATTACAACGTGAGGATACACTATATATAACCTGAATAAGAAAAGAAAATCGCTATTTGTCGTAGCTCTATTTTCACTTCTATTGAAAAGGATGAATCATTCAAACCATGAGAGAAAACATCTCGTCCGCACACGTTGATATATTTTACACTCAGATATCTGCATGCAACATCGAGAAAAAGAGGAATTTACACTGCACGATAGAACTCTAGTCATTTATTCACTCATCTTATTTGGCCGATGCCTATTATCTTCTTTCTTTCATCACTGTCAATCTTTTTTCTTCACCTCTGTGACAAGATAAGAGCAAGAAGAAAAGGAAGCTGTCAACAAGCCACATTTTTCGTTTCTACAACATCCTACTTCAAACTCCTATTATGAGATCCAGTTATGTGATATTCATTTTGCTGTTGTCAGCTATTCCCCGATCATCTAGTTTGAATGTATTATTTATTAGCTTTGGCGGCGCAGGCCATGTGATACCCATGTTTGAATTAGCTAAAGCAATGAAGAATCATAATGTTACATTTCTTACTCAACAAACAGCTCAAGTTTATATCGATTTCAAACCGTATTCTTCTTCGTCATTTCGCGTTGTTTATTCAAGTGATTCACCTGATGCATTAGCTATGGAAAAGAACAATGAACAACAAGCTATGTCTTATTTCTCTAATTATTCCTTTTTCGACGCATTACCCTATTTTATACCACTGTTAGGTCAAATGATCATATCGCTGCTGAATAAGACAATACACATTTTGACGTTTGAACGTTTCGATGTGATCGTCGCTGATTTAATGATCGTTGGTGTACCTATTTTGTGTGAGAAAGCAAACACACACTGTGTGACACTAAGCACTTCGGAGTTGCCAAGTATCCTCGATTTCAATTTACCAAACATTTTCTCACTCGTAACGTCGAAAGAGTTAACTCAAATTACACATCGCATATACAACGCTGCTTTTACTATGCGTCTGATAACGAAACTGATGCAGAAATCGGCATCGGCGTTCTACACACTCTTTCAGTCTCTGCCACGAATACCAGGACCATTTCACGATAGCTTCACGCCGACAAATCTTCTGTTTTCAAAATCAAAATCTTTGAAACTAGTTGGCATGCCGCCTTCATTCTTTACATCATCGTATTCACACCACTACACTAAATACCTTGGCGTATTCATAAATGAAACAGTGGTCGACAATGTCGACAATGATCTTACAAGTTGGATGAAGTCAAAATCGCGTAGCTCTATTATTTATGGAGCTTTTGGCAGTACTTCGGTGATTCCACTTGATCGAATGTATAATTTAATAAGCGGCCTGGCCGCGTTTCTACTGAAAGAAGGTGATAGTTCTCTACTGTTAGCATTTCGCAACACGAATTATGATACATATCAAACAGTATTGAAAGAGCTAGATAATGACAACTTTAGAGATCTCTTGAACAATGATAAACGAGTACGGATCGAAAATAGATTTGTACAACAAAAATGGATTCTACAGCAGAATTCGGTGAAAATGTTTTTGAGCCATTGTGGCATGGGTTCATCTTTAGAAGCACTTTATTTTAACAAATCCATACTGTGCATGCCGTTCAGTATGGAACAGTTTGCTAATGCAATTACAATCGAGAATCTGGGCGTTGGAGAATCATTATTTGTGCCGCCTTCTGCGGTGCAATCATTGATAAGTCCCTATGATTTTGCTAAATATACGTTTACAGCAAGTCGCGTAATAGGCAAAATATCGGCATTGTGGATGAATGTAACGTACGAAAAAGCAGTCAGACTCATGTCACTGGAAATGAAACATGCAGGTGGCTTGAAACGAGCAGTAGAAGAAATTGAATTCTTCGTTAATCTTGATGGTGATTTAGATCGCTTTACACCGTTTCAAAGTACATTATCGCTTTATCAACGATATATGCTCGATTTACTGCTGGTGCTCGTTGTTCTACCTGGAGCAATCATAACATACATAATACTGAAATGTTACAAACGACGGCGAAAAGAAAAAACAGAGTGATGAATGCACCATGTTATATGTTTGTCCATTTTCATGAATAAATGTCGTGCGTAATCTTCACACTCTCACGCGAAAGTATTCGGCATTTGTTTGCTTGTTCATTACCAGAAAAAGTTGCACACAGGTTTCTACTCGAACCCTTATTCTAACCCAAATGGCATGCATGTACCAACTCATAGGACTTAACTCCAACTAATCAGTCAAAAGCTCGCGTGCCGATTTCGAGCGCAAGAAAGGAGCATATAGAGCAGTTGTAGTGTCGGCTGAGCATGCTTGCGACATGAAACTTATGAAAACAGGATTCAAAGTCGAATTTGTTAGCTCTGCCGTCGGATATTAACTGAACGTCAACTGCTTTAGTGATACAAATAGACTAAGACTCCGACCACGATCCATTCTAAAGTCGGAAGGACAAAGCTTCGCCTAATTTTTATGATACCACCATGTTTTGTTTTTTAAATACGAGATCGGTCAGCGTTCGAGAGAGTAGCCCGCGCATCTCTCTAATACTAGTCGTAAAGACGCTCTCTCATTCGACTTGAAGTCTAATTCGAGATGCTTCCGATTTTTCATAGATTTCAGCAAGCATTCAATCGTACCTCTGCTGAATAATTTAACAGCCTTCTCCACATTTTCTACTGCTAGCAAATCACGCTCTTCGATGTGGTCGATCAGACTGCTACTGACAGTAAGGGGACATCTCCTATATCCTAATGGGGCTATATATCCCGATCAGGATATAGAAAAAAAGTAGTATCCCAATCGGGATATAAAACACGAAATTTCATCGTAAAAACGATTAAGGGGAAAATTACGACATTTTGGGGTAAAATTGACGTCACCATTAGAAAGAGCTCGAAAAACTCCATCAGAAGTGCATCAAGTACCCGGCAACTATTTTTTCAAACAAAAACCTTTAACTAATTTTAGTCAAATTTATATCCCGATCTGGATATAGGCTGTTTATCGTCTATTGCTCATAATGGGATATACTCTTCATTTAATCACTTTCCAAATGTATGGTAGATGAAAGTGTGCGTGGTATCGACTTTGTCTTCTATCTTTTATGGCTATACTGCTCTCGCATGTGAGGGATGAATAATAGAAGAAATCTATTTACGTCTGTTAAAAAGATATAAGTGTCTCTTCGATCAGCTGGAGAAAACAAAAGACACTACTAGGAACATTAGAGAGGAGGAATAAAGAAGAAGGAGAAGAACATTCAGCTCTCATATAATTAAAATTTATCATTTTCTTACAAATTAAAAGTTAAAATTCTTGATATCCTAATCGATATATCGAATTATATCCTGATCGGGATATAATTTCAAACTATATCCCGTTTGGGGTATAAAAAAATTTTGCTGCAAAAAATGATATCCTGATTGGGAGTACATCCCGATCGGGATATGTCTCCATACTGACAGAGGCAACTTCTATATAAGAATCTAAAATTTAGGAGAAGTAAGGGCTAAAGACACGAAGCGTAACGCTCGGAGTATACTTTTCTCCCGAGAAAACAGCTTGACAGCAGTCAGCCTATAGTAACACGAGATTTTGCGCTTAAAACGTCGACCGAAATCACTTTTCAAATGTACAATCTCATAACACAGAACGATCTCTTCGCTCTTTCGAGCTAGAGATACTTTCAATGACTGTCGCAGTGACTATGGGATTGCCTCTTTGCTGCGCATCTCTCGTTTGTGATTGGTCGGTTCAAGCAACATCACTCGTGGAAGTTATTTATAGAAATTTGATTAATTTTCCAGAAATTCGAGGAGAAATTTCCACTTTATAGAAATTACTTATCGACTTTCCAGTTTATAGAAATTGGTATTAATGGAAATTCAAGACGATTTTCTAGGAAGTAGAAATTCAACGATTTCTATATAGTGGGAAAATTGGTGAGGAATTTCTGTAAACTAGAAATTCTTCAGCGATTTTCCACTTGATTTTCTATAAACTGGAAATTAATTCAACATTACAGTGTAACACAGCTGTGTCACAAAAACTAAAACGTCAGTCAGACGCAGTTTTCCCAGATGAATCCAACGGACTTGTCAGAATTAAATTTTGATCAATGTTGACTATCAGAAAATACAAACTACCATTACAATCTCTTTATCGCCAACAAATATAGAAATACTAACAGCAATACTTAAAAACATTCTGCATCGAATGTGTGTCAGCACAAGGAGGATATGTGTCAGATGTAGTTTTGTGAGAAAAATCGAATGGCTTTTCCAGATTTTGTTTTCCGTCAGTTTTTATTGTGAAAATGCCACAAAACCTCAGAGTCCTCTCAATTACTACACAACGTTCCGCCATTTAAGGGTAGTGGAATTGCTGAAGCACTGTTGGTCCAAATATTTGTGCGGTTGATGACGAGAAGTATATATGATTCATCTTAGAAAATAAAAGAAAGACAGTTTTATTTGATTAATGACTAAAATATTAAGTGAAAAAGGCAAAATATCGAATCCAAACAGATTACCAAACACAGTAAAAGTGCGCTTTATGTATTTTTAAATAACTTATCTAATATGCCATTAGTTTTCAAACTGAAAATATTTTTTAGTAATGTAAAAAGTTTTTGCGTGAACCATTGTGAAAATAAGAAGTTTCTGTTTTCTAAAAAACGCACTTCATGATAAAAATCCATAGCTATCTATGAAATACTTCAGTCTAGTGCTTACCTTCAATAAAAATAGTCGTGGATAATAATAAGAATGGAGTGAGATCAAGAACAATATTATTAATATAACAGTTGATTAATAACCTACAAGTAAACGCTAAGTTTATATAGCTTTCTGGAAATAAAAATAAACATTTGTCCGCTCGCGAAGTTGCGTTTTCCTTTTACTTCTTGTGCAACAGATCACTTGTTCAAACTATTAATTCTACACTGTAATGTTGAATTAATTTCCAGTTTATAGAAAATCAAGTGGAAAATCGCTGAAGAATTTCTAGTTTACAGAAATTCCTCACCAATTTTCTCACTATATAGAAATCGTTGAATTTCTACTTCCTAGAAAATCGTCTTGAATTTCCATTAATACCAATTTCTATAAACTGGAAAGTCGATAAGTAATTTCTATAAAGTGGAAATGCCTCCTCGAATTTCTGCTTTATAAAATAAATAATAAAATGAATTTCTACATTCTAGTTTGTAGCTTTACTGCAATAATTTCTTGAAACTGAGGGAAACCTGAGGTGTCACGTGTCCGTAACAATTATCACGGTATGAGAATGCCATAATTGTTATCTTCTGCGTTTTGAGATTAATTGTCATTACATACATAATTTAAAGCACGGATTGATTTATAGTGTCATAAAAATGGGAAATATCAACAGTAGAGTGATCGATGATGATGATACGATAGTATCAGAGAGCAAACGGAGTAGAATGATGTAAATCACACGAGTTTTCAAACACTTTCGATTTTTCGACTAAAAAATTTCAAGTTTGGTCCCCCATCCCACGACAATGAAAATATCAAACTTTTCAGAATCGGATCTTTTAAGCTGAAATCTCTACAGAATATCATAGTTTCACATTTTATATCGGAGTAAACAAAATCAACAGTAGAAGATACATCATCCGATTCCGGTTTTTACATAGATTCTAGAGCTCTGCAGCTCACGCATAACCTGTCCTGGCAGGTTACGACTTCGCAGTTCAGGATAGGTTATAAGTTACAAAATTTTTTACAGGACAGACTACTCTATCTGTACCTTGTTTTCAACCTGTAAAAAAAATATTAAGCGTCATCTGTAAAGGGGAAGAAATAAGAACTCGAAAAATAGTTTTTATTAGTCATCAGGAATAGTATGGGAAACATGAAGACAGTCGTTGAATACCGATGTTGCTGTCAGCAACATCTGTATTTGTTAGTTGTATTAATAGTTAACAATTGGAGTCCAATTGCTAACTGACTTTTATTGATAGATAATTTTTCAGTGTTATCATACATATCCTAATCCCGCATAACAATCCTCAAAAATGTCTGGATACTAAACAGAAGAAGATCAGAGATCATTTATAGTTGATAAGTTGAAAAAGCAAACCTTAGCGAGCCACAATCGATAGTTAACTGAGACAACAACAAAATTGAGTTCTTCTGCGAGATTCGTTGAATCATAAACTCTTCATAGTTGGTATCACCAAAAAAAAGTCTCCCGGGTGAATCCAATACAATCCTATAAACGTATTTTACAATCAAATGTTTATATTGTGTCATAGTAATTCCAATACCTGGACAAGATTTATTTAACTTTTGACTATAGATGTTGATTGTCACAAACTCATTAATATTTTTCGTTGTTTTTGTAACTATTTTTGATTTTATTCTTGTATAGGTTTCGTTCCATATTGTCAGTACCTTCAAACGATTTATAGTAGTGGGAATACTATTTGAGTAATGGATGCTTACGTCGTTTTAAAGTTTAGAAATATTGGCAAATTCTATATTTATCTCCTCGGGAAATTGAAAGTCCAGTTGTTTGTAAACTTTCTTAATCTCTGGATCAAGTAACGCCAGGTACTCTTCTTTTGTTAATTCTTTTTCTTCTGTGTTTGGTGATTTGAGCATTTGGCCGTCTGAAATCACTACAGGACATAGTCCAATTAACAAAAACCAGATAAGTCAGTAAGAAGTTTGTTGAATTGAGACAGTTTACACATGACGATAAAAAATGACTGGAAACTTATGAAAAACGTTATCGGATACATGGACTGTATGAGCTTATTTTGAGGCCAATCACGAATCTGATACTTATTTGAACTAAATGACTTTTCAATAGGAAACTACGGCAATTAGGGGTGGTTACGACTACTAGTTACTCGAGGTTACTTTACCAGGTAAAGTAACGAACTTAGTTACGCGTTACTAGTAACAAGTAAACAATATAGTTACTATTAGCAAAGTAACTAGGTCGAGTTACTTCGTTACCCTCCTGAAAGTAACGAAGTAACGAAATTTTTTTTAAGGAAAAAATTCTACTTCTTGTCGACATTTTCCATCGTTCTAACATGTAAATCTTGATATGAAAAGTCACTTTTCCCTAATATGACCAAAGTTCTTTTATTGATCAGTAATAAGATAGAAGAAATAAATAAAGAATAAGAATAAATTTCGAAGTATGTTTTAAAACATTTTTGGTAATGAAAAACTAATATTCTGTTCGTGGTTCGTAGACTGAAACAAATGCTAAAACAAGGATTTCGCAAGAGATAAAGTGGTCAAACAGACAAAGAAAGCAAAAGATTAAGTTATCTATTTCCCTTTTAATTAGAAACTTGCGGATTATTGATTACTTTTTAGACTTGCCGAAAAACTCGTTTTCCAGAAAACCGGATCTTCAAGAGTCGTGCAGAAAATCCTTTTAAAAGCCTTTTACTAACTCAGTACCCTCTGTCGCTCGACGTATGTACGAACGAAATCAGAACGTATCACTCGGGTAGGTTTCCACGTTAGTTTAACGTTTTAACCTGGAAAGTAAGATATTTCACGAAAGTAAAAAGATTTTTAAAAGTACGAAGAAAATTTCTAAAAACTTAGAAAAACTGTTTGATCTCGAAGAGCCGCATTTGCATATTTTATACTAAGCATTTTCTTGCTTGCTGTACAAACTATGAGTGTACATCATAAAGAAATGTCATAAATAAAGCAAAATGCCGACAAATCATTTTCTTTCAATCTAAAAAATATAACACACAATCAGCAACATCGTATGAAGGAATGACATAATTACGCATAAATATAGGAGATAAACAGGATTGCCAACTCAAAACCTATGAAATCGAAAAAAAAATCTAAAAGTCAGAAAAGATCAGAAAAGCAAAGTGTCAAAAATCAGAAGACGTATTTTTTTTGCTTTTTTTTGCCCAAAACACAGGAGAAACGTCAACATCTTAATTTTTTTTAAATTGATCTTCATTTGCCTCTTTTTTTTCTTTCTTTGTCCCATATGATTTATAGCAGAAATTCAACTTCAGCTGTATTTGGAGATGAAAACTGTCCTAGTTTTTAAAGTTCATACATATACCCCTTGTCACCGGTTCTTAGATAAGAATTGGATACGAAAGACATAAGAAGCATAGCATCTTATAAGAACCTTATAAGAATCTTACTCAATTCTTATATAAGATCTTCCACCAAAGTGACAAGAATTCTGCTGAATCTAATAAGAATCTTATAAGAATGTCACAAGAATTCATAAGAAATTGGTAAGAGTCAACAAAACTCGATTCAATAACTGATTCAATTCGGACTCTGTAAGCCGTAGAAAATAGACTAATACGCATCAAAACTCTTTTCGTACCTGTCGTAATAAAGCACTGAAAGCAATCATAAAAGGACTCACAGTTACTAGCAGGTACAGTTACTAGTATGACTCATCATTAAATAACCAGCGGTCAAAGGAACGAATTTTTCTTTATTGATCGCTACAGAAAATGTATCTTCGAAAAACATTTTAATGAGTTGTTTCTAGCAAAATATAAATCTCTCTCAATATAATTCTCACAAAATTCTAGTAATTCTATTTACGAATCATAGCAGTTGATAGGTTCCTAAACGACTTCGTGTGTTTCGTAGGATCCTATATGATGCAGGATTATGCATGATAATCTTACAAAAAACTTGTAAAAATCTTACAAGGATCTTATAAGAATCTGATAAGAATAACGTACGAGTTTTGTTAACTCTTACCAATTTCTTATGAATTCTTGTGACATTCTTATAAGACTAGAAATAACCCGCGGAAAACCACGGACGCCCAGCGTTTATATATGTTGTAAAAATTTTCTATGTTGCAAGCTTCTGTAGAGTCGGAAAAACGGGCCATAAGTAGGGCGAGCGATGACTTCAAGTTTAAGCAAGGCGGTGCTTATGGTTCGCTCTAGAAGTTATGATCGAGTTTCTTGAATTGAAACCATAGAAGCTTCAGTTTACTTGGCACGCAATTTTATTTAAATTTTATTTTTTAAAAATTCAAAGCTGGAAGACTTCCTTAAAAACAACATTGCGGGTAAGTTGGTGTTCATCTTGCAACAGTTGTCCTTGTTGGGGGTTTGGTTGAATTCGCACTTTCACTTGCTGGGGATTTCTTGATCGTGACCGGTGAGGGTGACACAATGAAATTACCGAAATTTTAATGATTTCTCCTTTGCTGGCTGTTAAACGGTGACCGGAACGCTTTTCGGTTTGTTTGCGAGGCACTGAAAATCAAAATTTCTGTTTACATGTGATATTTCACCGAAAACTTGCACAAACTTACGAAGTTTTTGTAATTTTTCCTTTACTGGATCTTCATTGACGCTCTGGAATGCACAATTTCTATTTACATTCGAAAATCCATCGAAAAGGTTATTGATCTTACCAAACTTTAGTGAATTTTTGCAGATAATAAATTGCTTCGAAGAAAATGGATGCCCCGAGATTGCTCAACATTTGTTTTATTACCACTTTAATTAGAACTGTTTTTTTTGATTTTAACCAATAGATGGCGTTGTTTAGTGTCTTGGGAGCGTTCCGCACAGATGGACAGACAGATAGGTCTGGACTGTTCTTATGTATATAACTCATTTGGGACACTGGATTTGAGCTCAGCACCCTTGATTACCTTCGGTCAACCCTTATCAGGAAATTCGTTTTTCAATTTTTCAATAACTGATTTATTAACTAATAATAATTAATAACTCATAACTCATTTCTGATATCGGATTCGGATTCCCCACCCTAGGTTACCCTCTGGTCAATCAAGTTTTAGAGTCGTTTGTGTTTTGTGTTTTACCCAATACATTGGCGCTGTTTAGTGTCTTGGGAGCGTTCCAGACCGAAGGACAGATATGTCTGGGCTATTCTTATGTATATATTCAGTTCAGCAGAACTCTTGTCACTTTCGTGGAAGATCTTATATAAGAACTGAGTAAGATTCTTATAAGATTTCACAAAATTTTTTTATCTAGGGGCGTTACAAGTTCGGCGAAAAACGAACTCACTGAAATTAACTCGGGAGACGTTTAAATAAATGTTACGAAGGAAGAAGGAAGAATAGCCCGCCTTGCGGCTACCTTGCGGTGTAGGGTGCTGCCGAAGCAGTTTCGATAAGCCCGATATCTTCCCTACAGCTGGTGATCTTCAGAGACGGTCACCAGTTCTTCTACTAGTCGCCAAGCAAGCTGTAGCTCTGGACAGAAGGCCAGCCTGACACAGAGTTCTTTTCGCCCAATTGCTTGAGCTTTGTCTAATTTTTCCAACAACTTGATTACAACAACTTTCTCTCACAGACTAAGAATATGTCTATATATATAAGAAACAAAGAAAGGAAAAGATCGAACTACATACAATAGATATCGAACGATACATATAAAAGATCAAACAATACACAACAGATATCGAATCATTCTTTGTTCTCTTACTTTACTTTCTCTGTTTTTTGGTATATATGTTCCGTACAATTCGCTTTTTACAGATCAATCTTGTGATAGCGTTTTAGACTGTAATTTTTTTTTTGCAGTATTTGTAGCAGACTTTTAAGAAAAAATATTAGCAATAAAAAAAAAACAGAAAAATCACAGCAAATCTAGAAGCAGAAAAAGTATTGCACTCACAAACCGTAGATCAAAAGAAGACGTTAGGTAAGTTATATAAACTGTTCGTAGTCTTTTGAATTGTTTTTTTCTAAAAAGTATTGTTGCAGTGTCTTTCGTTTGACTTGTAGTTTATCAGACACAAGACCATCAACCACACCTTCAATGAAAAGAAAACTATCACCAGAAGAAACCGCAACATTACCATCATTATTAGTAACAAGCCTAGATTTGTCATCTTCACCTTCGCAAAGAACATCAGCCACAAAATTAAGAATTTTTAAAGAAAGAAGTATGAGTAGTAAGCCACATGAATAATGGTAGTTTGGATTATTATCAAATAATTCAAAATAAACTTTTAATTGTATTGATGAATAAAACAAAATGTCAAGCATGTAATCAGGAATGGAATGGAGAAATGAACATAAGAAAAAGAGAAGATAAATATGGTTTTCAACACATTCCATCCGAATTAGACGATATTCTTCTTCTAACAAATACTACCACTAATACAAATACTAGTTCTGCTAACAAGAACAACAATAATACAAATAATAATCGTAATAGTAATACTTCTGGTTTAGGTTTAGAAACAGCCACTGATGCACAAGCAAGAAAAGAATTGTATAATGAATTGTACAAACTTATCTTTTCAAAACAAAAACGAACGCATGGTGGAAAAATTGCTATGACATATGCATGGCCACTACTCATCAAGCAGCTCATCCGGTGCCGATATCCATCTGATATACAAGACTATGTTTATCACAAAAATTCAATTAAACTTTCATTAGATGATTTTATTCATGCTTTTAAAACATAAACAGTAGGTTTTTCTCTTCTTATGTTTAGTATGTGTCTATTGTGTAGATTTGCGTATATAATAAAATAGTACAAATACATTTTAGAATACTGCGTTTACTCAATTACGCATCATTCTATCTATTTATTCTTGAGAAGCAATATTAGATTTGCAATAAATCCCTCTAAACCGTCTCTACAGACATTCTATAAAGCCCTTTCATACTCTTATTACGCTCATTCACTTACGAATTGAATTTAGCACCATTGTAAGTTCTTTCTGTGAGAAAACAGATTTTAAGGAATAACAGGTACTTCTAAACCCATTGAGGACCTCTGAAGATCTTCCAGGAGACCCTTTTAAGGACTTCCTAAGCTTGTTCATCCATGTATTGGACTCACCATCAAGCATGAATACGTCAGATCGACATAAATACCAAGTTCTTCTATAAGGGGTCCGTAGAAAACCTCTGAAAACCTCCTCAAAAACCATTGATATAGTGTCCAATCGTATATATTCTGAAAGCAGACAAATCAGGCTATCTTTCCATGTGTGTATCTCAAAATCCATTTTATGACGAAATATCGATCCTGAGGCTTCGAGAAAACCTGATGCCACGCCTAAACCACAAAAGACTAAAAGGTAGCTTAGCCTGGATTTTGTAGAGGACGCTTTGGGCTATCTAAACATGTAAAAATTTAAATATTACTACGTTGTATTTTGGTATTGTGAAATAGTTTTCCAAAGATCCGCCGAAAAATCGGACTCCGAACCTTTTAAAATTCATCTGTGGTTACAAACATATAGGCTAAGCTGTCTTCTTTCGATTACTGAAAACCGCAAGTCTTCATCTTTGAGGTATTCAAAAATCAATTGTCTATCTTAGATTTTATACAGAGGTCCGCAGAAAACCTCTGAAAAAACCCTCAAAAACCATTGATATAGTGTCTAATCGTATATATTCTGAAAGCAGACAATTCAGGCTATCTTTCTATGTGCGTATCTCAAAATCGATCTTTTGACCGAAAATCACCACTTCTGAGGGGGAGTAAATTACTATAGATTTGCCAAAACGGGCAAAATTCTTCGATGTCATTGATTTCGGAAACAATTTGCTTTTTTTTGTTGAGAGCATCTATCTCTAAGTAAGAAAAGTGGGTTAACAACTCACCTGCCAAACTCGATCCGTCATTTTCCGAAATTTGACCAACTGACAATATCCACCCACTTTAACTGGGTCCAACGGGGCATTGTAGTGGGTAAGTAACGTACCTGAACCGGGTGAATTTTCTGCTAGCCGATCAATGGCAATAGTGGGTGAATAATCTGGTTAAAGTTGGTTATTTACTCACTTTAGACGGGTTTATTTCTGACAGTGTGGAGATATTACGTCGGCCTTCTTCCCAGAAACCATCTTCTGCAACACTAATTAAAAGAGCTGAAAATCAGAAGCGATCAGAAAAAACCTCCAAAATCAGAAAAATTCTGTTAAATCAGAAGAGTTGGCAACCTGGAGATAAAATTCTTTCTTTTCACTTCGTTCTGACCGCGATACTTGTCAAAAAAAAGTTGTATTCATTAGGTCTGTAACAACAAATGTAAAATGTTAAAACTTTGGTCAAAAAAGTTACATTTTACATTTATAATCTGTCTTTTATCCGCTGCGTTAGAACAAAAAAGGTTTGATACCTACAGGACGCACGCCGTCTTTTTGTTCGTATTATTGTTCCTTCAGTCAGGAGTGTTTCTCAGCGCACAGAATATACACAGAAGGGAAAGAAAAACAATCAGAAAGACGACGTGGGTCCGTCCTTTATGTATCGAACCTTTTATGTTCTAACGCATGTATTATAAATTTAAAATGTAACCTTTTTGACCAAAGTTCTAACATATACATTTGTTACTACAGGTCTATCAAGAAAATTAATTTCTATCAATTCTCGGAATCTTTAGACTACTATCGAAACGGAAAGGTCGTGCCGGTTGCCGTTTTTCAGATAACTTTTTAACGAAAGGTCTTAGCGGCCTGCGGTTTTCACCATCGTATAGAGGACACTTAAAGCCATATTTTTATAAGCAAAAACAAGTTTCAAAAAAATT